TAAAATAAATCAATTAACAGTCAAAACATTTGGATATGTTAGTTCAATACTACATTATACCATTTTAAAAAATATCAAGACAAAATTACGCCAGAAAAAATTTTAAAATATGAAGTGCATCTAAGTGGAAAAATTGAGAATATTTTTTATACCTCAACCCTTTTTCCATCAAATAAAATATGCCGAATGTGAGGGTTTGGTTGGTATAAACTCAAATCATGCGCATGCCTGCTTCCTGGTCATCCCTTCTCGGCTTCTCTTGCTTCCGCAAATCATTCCCCCCACCCCCACCTTCCCAAAAACAACAACCAAAAAAAAAAAAAATTCACGTCATTTTTCACTTTCTCCATTCCAAACCATTTGAAATTCACCCGTTGGCTTAAAATGTCCGTGACTCTGGTCCATTTGTCTGACGATGATATTAATAAAACTTCACAAAATATTTAGGCAATAATTTCCACATTTCTATTTGTTCTTAAAATATCTAAGGGAAGAGGGGAGTTCTCTCCTTCATTGCACGCTCATTCATTTATCATGACATGTACTAACCTAATATAAAGATTCTGTTTGTTTAATTTTTTTTTTAATGAAAAAATAACTTATTTTTCTAAAAAAATATTATTTTGAGAAGATAGCTTTTAAAAATAGTTTGTTGTTGTAACCTGTAGATGAGAGATAACATGTCATAGAAATGTAGAGATATACAATTACATGAAAAAATGATAAATTTTTTAAATAATTAAATAATAAATTATTTTTTATTAAAAAAATCCATAAAGATACCATAAAATTTGAAATTAATTAATTAATAATTTTTTTATATTATTGCAACCAAACTTATAATAATTCATGTTTTTTATAAAATAAATCTCTTTTTATAAAATGTATGAATCATTTTTTTATCTTAAATAAACGGGTTAAAAAAATATCTATAGTCAATTTCTTTAATGTTGGGAAAAATTAAAATTTTATGTACACGAGACAATTCTAGACCCTAGCCACATAATCTCGTCTAATATGATCCCGTGATATATGTGAAATGGTCTATTTAATGCGTTGCTAATTTATATATTTAATCGTTACATATGTGATTGATACCAAGTATTGCCGAGGATATTGTAGGAACACTACTTTTATTTGATCTAATTATTAACATTTATAACTTAAAACTTCACCAAACATGAATGTGAACCCCATCCTTTCACAGGGATACACATATAAATTGATTATTCACGCGTTTCTTGTTGTGTGGTGTGACGCTCAGTAATATGCCTAGAGGATGGGAATCAGGATCTGCTTGATTTCTATTTTAAAAATTATTTTCTGTTTTTTTTAAATTAAGTAATTTGTTTGGATAAGTATTTTGAATTTAATTATTTTTAAAATTATTTTTATTTTTTGTTTTTAAAAATAAAAAATAAAATATTTTATAGTTATTTTATTTCATTTTTTTTTGTTTTCAAAAACACTACATTTGATTATTAGAAAATATAATTAGCTTGGTCAATTTATATCATAAACTACCACTATTAACTATCTGCAATCATCAAGATCATCTTATTTTTTTATTTTTAAAATTCTTTTTTAAATTCACATAATCAAATAGATTTTTATTTTGTTTTGTTTGGCAAAACAATTATGAAAATTATACTACAAAACAGTTCTTAAAAACAAAAAATGGAAAAAAAAAACTTATCATTTAATAACATTTGGATATCTTGAGATTATTATTAATATATATTCTCTCCCTTAAGGGGTTAAATATTAAAAAATATATGATATTTTTGATATTTTAAGATATAATTAATGTGTTTTTTAAGTGTCCATAATAAATAAATTATTTTATATTTATTTTGAAGTGAAATGTCCTATTAAATAAGAGTAAATATAAAAAGATGATGTTAGTTTGAAAATAATTAATTATAAAGTAATTATGAGATAAAATTTAATTAAAAATATTTTATATTTTTCTAATAGAAAGAGTATATATATATATTGAGAGAGCGTATATAAGAGATATACTTAAATAATAAGTGTAAACGTGTAACCTTATATTCTCTCCTATTTTTATTACAGAACACTTTTTAAAATATTTTTTGAACCTTAATACAAAACACACCATGGGATATTATTTGTATTTTTTCAATACTACCCTTATTTAAAATTATTAATTGTGATACTCCCCCCGTTAAAAAATATAAAATATTTTTAACCGAATCTTATCCCCCAATAAAGTAGTTACCTACTTTCCAACTAACCATATCTTTTTATATTTACCCCTATTAAACACCTTATAATAAATATAAAGTCATTATCAATAGGGGTACTTTAAAAAAAGTAATAATTACACCTCGAAAAATTAAAAATGCCTTACATTTTTGAACATCTAACTCCTCAAAAAATACCTTATATTTTTGAAGGGGGGAGTAGATAATATAATGTAAATTTGAAAATTTCTATTTAAATGTAGGTAAAATAAAAGTTTTTTTTTTCCATTTGTAAACATAGTTAATAACATAGCTATTTTTTCTTAGTTTCAGTGAGGTAATAGAAAAAGAAGCCTTGTGATAGGAACGTGGATGAGTATATGTTCTTGTTGATCTTATATTGTACTCCTAAGATTTATAATGATTAAAATAATCCTTATAGTTTCAAGTAGGTTTATTGTTTAATTTTAAGTAGTTGTATATAATTAAGCCAAAATAAATAATTAGAATATTTCTATTGTAAAATAATATATGTAAATCGCGTTATCACGGAAGAGATTAGATTCTGTTATTACATTGGTGGAGGATACCCCTTGTGCCTTATGGAAAAATGTCATATAGGGTTGGAGGATTATTCAACTTCTTTTTTTGACCAGTAGGATTATTCAACTTCTTAAATCTTAAATTTATCCTAAATCATGATTATTTTTTGGAATTTCCCTTAATAAATAGGCTGGCTTCTAATATCCTCAATCTTTTATTAATCAATGAGAAGTTATTTAAAGATCAAGACTTTTTATAATATATGATTTTTATTATGAATATTATATGATTATATGAGTGTATGTCCATAACTCTAAATATTCGGGATTCTTTGTCTTCCATTATCTCTCGATGAATGATTTAGAATGAGTTTTTCGAAATTAATACCTTATAACTTTCAAAAATTATATACTATACTATGATTTCCTTCTTTATTCATTTATAACATTAAGATTAGACTTTAACCATGCACAAAATATTAGGCACCCAAGTGTATAAAATATACCCCTTATTTCCCCTCCCAATTCTTCTTGTCTTGCTATCTTTTCCTACTTTCTTTTTTCTTATTTTTATAACAACATGACGCTTCATCAAATTGGTTAGCAGCATAAATATGAAGAATTTTTTTATTAATGTTTGTTGATTTTTGTTTGTGGCATGGAGATGGTTTGTCCAGATAGAATGGTACAAATTTACAAATTTATTTAAAATGAATGATGACCTCATAATTTCAAAGAAGGTATGAATCTTACTTATTGATGGCTTAGTAGACATTCCTATTGAGGTATAAGATTTTATTTTATTCAGTTTTTACTTAATGCCATTCTTATATTTTATCCCTTAAAAATTCAAGTTTTATTCCTATGCTTGTGATAATCAATTTGATATTTATTGATATTTTAAATTCATGTTATTTAATTGCCAATAACTATATTATTTTTGATCTTATAATTAAATGGCCAGAAGTTATATCACTTTTAATAATAGTCTTTTATAAAAGAACACTTTATGTTTTTAATAAATATTATGAAAAGTATTGTTGTTACAAATAAAACAGTCCTAAAGGCCAATAATCCAAACATTTTATGGCATCAAAGGGCTTTGATAGTATTGGAAAATATTTTTGCCATAGTTTTAAAGACCAATAGCATATAAAAAATCATATCACTGAAAAAGTAATAGTCCTAAGACTAATTAAATTTGCGGCGCTTTTATCATTCAATTGATTACAAATATCAAAACTTTGAAAGATATTAGTTCAAACATCAAATGGCATTAAATAGCGTGTAGTTTTGCATGGTTCAAACATCAATTGCTTCCTCACTGTGTAAATAGAGACAGCAACATTGAACGGCGGCCTCGTAAACAAATTCAATGCATCAACTAATGTAATTTGACTGATAATGAGATGAACATGATGAATTTAAACTATTCATTTTTATTTAAGAAATATCCTAAATTATCACAACTACTAAAAAAATATATTCCCTTTATTTTAAATTATAAGATATTTTTACATAAAATCACATATAACAATAACATTAATTAAATATATTTTATAACTTTATTTTTTTCATAACAAAAATTCAAACTTCTAAAAAATGCATTCGTTTAATACTCAATTTATTAAAAATATTAAAAATAAATAATATATAAAAAGAATAATATTGAAATAATACAGTTAATGAAAAAATATTTTTATTAATTTTTTTATATTTTACAATATTTAATTTATCATAAAAGTGTCTTATAATTTTAGATCGGAGGAGTATTTTGCTGGTGCATTTTCTTTTTTTATATAAACATAATTAAAACGAAAACTTTGTTGCCACTTTTCCTTTTCCTTTTCCATTTATACCGTCAGAAGAAAGTTCAACGAAACAGAATGGTCACAAGAAGGAAACTCATAAATAAAAAGTTAAAAAAAGAAACATTCACCTAAAACAAATTAAATACAAATAAAAATAACATATCTAAAAGTTCAATTTTTTTTTTTTCCATTGTGACAAAAGTTTCTTATTTTTGTTTTTTGATTAAACACTAAAAGACATTTAAAAACGCTAAAACCTTTTCCGTAAGAACAAAGGACTCCTTTTCAAGCATTCAACAGAGGACTCCTTCTCTGAATGATTGTTTGCCTTTAACAGGAAGGATCTTGCTGAATTTGCCGGTTTGAGACGGTAATATCAACTTAGCTCGTTAAAATCTGGAGCCGGCGCTTTAGATATCAAGACTCGAACTTAAATATATATTCAACGTAAAAAAATGGTTCGAGTCTCCGCCTTACACGTACCTAATATGGGAGTTGCAATTCATTCAAATCAAGGATCCTCGGTTTCATAAGTCAGACCCACCCTCCAACCCCACTTGCTTGTTTCTTTCCCTCGTTTTCTCCGATCCCTCCCATTCCTTCCTTCAATTTTTGCATCCCCTCTCCTCTTTAGCTCTGAATCACCCCTCTGAGATCTCCATTCACTGAAATCTCTTCCCTTTTGTCTTTTGATGGGTAGTATCTCGCACGTGATCGCCCCCAAACTCACTCTCCCCCACCTAACTTCTAGCCGCTTCCATGGAGGCTTGCTCTTCCCCCGCTCCAATGGTCGCGTCCCCACATTGAAACTCGACAGAGTACCCTGGAAGGTTCGTATATCCTCAGAGCTTAAGAGTCAGAGCTCCAGTACCATCTCCTGTTCGGCCATTGATTTCAGTGATCCTGATTGGAAAGCCAAGTTCCAGAAGGACTTCGAGGCCCGTTTCAGTCTTCCCCATATTACTGATGTCTTCCCAGATGATCGTCCTATTCCCTCAACATTTTGTCTCAAGATGAGGTTAATTGCTTGCCCTGGTCTTGTACTATTTCCTGTCTTTGAAGGAGGCTTAATAGGCACGCATTGTGGAATCTGTGGTCTGAATTTCTTGTGTTTTATGTCGCAGAACTCCCATAACTGGAGATTTTCCTGGTAATTATCCTACTGATGAAGAGTGGCATGGATACATTAATAATAATGACAGAGTGCTTCTTAAGGTATGTTTTGTTCATCTCTGATGTTATTTGACTTTCAGACCATTGGGGAGAGGCCTTTGACTGGCTGTTAATAATGTTTTGTTGTTTCCCATTGATGTCTCTTGTGTTCTGCGCTGTCTTCTTTTTTCACTGTTCAACTTTTTAGATCTCTTCTTTCATTATGTTTGAGGCTTTGAGCATTCCTTTTGTTTTAATTTCCCTCTGAATATAAGTGCTTGTCTTTGTTGGCACATGTTCTACTTCACTCTCACGTTCTTTGAAAATCTGTCAACCTTTGTAAGAAAGCTCATATTTATTCACATATTTAGAGATCAATATTGATGTAGAAGAAAAAAGTTTTTTTTTACTGGCATTTGCTTTCTTCTGTATGTCAGTTGCTAATATCTATGAATTTTATGGAGATGCTACTGATGGTTAAAAGATGGAGGTTTTATTTTCCTTTTGCTTTAATTTTTCAGACAATATACTATTCGTCCCCTACATCTGCCGGTGCTGAGTGCATTGATCCTGGCTGTTCCTGGGTAGAACAATGGTAAAATATTTGCTTCCCCAATTTTATACTGGACTATGAAACTGATTATACATTAGGTATTCTTGTCTCTTAATGTAAAGAAGGAGAATGGGTATTATTGTGTTCGAAGATGGGTAAAAGTTTGGGCTAGTAACATGCACCCCTCCTTAGATTTCTGAACTTTAGCGTTGTTATAAAAGCTAGGATATCTATTCTCAATCAAATATGCTTTTAGCTATCAATGTGTTCAGCAAGTGGCTCTGTACGAGGCAAGGCATAACTTAGATTTGACAGTATTATGATTTGATAGATTCCATATTGGTATTTCATAGTGGCAGAGAAAAGTAACAGAGCTTTGGTTTGACAGAATACAATTCTGATGCATAATTCGTTAGGCCTTGACAGTCAAATAAGGACCTTAAAACATTAGCAGATGTGTGGGAATGTAGACTTTGGATATCACAATGATTGCATTGCTTCTTTCTTGGTAGGAATAGAAAGAAAGAGATAATAGTGAATTCTCATTACAAGCAATGATTACGTTAATTATTGTTCTGGTTTACCATATTTGAGGTTCATCTAATAATTCTGTGTTTCAATGTCCTTTAAGTCTGCTTGAAGTAAATAATGTTATTTTTTAAAGAAATTGGCAGATTTGGTAAAATGTTATGATATCTTTTCAGGGTTCATCGAGCTGGGCCTCGTGAAAAAATTTACTTTCAACCAGAAGATGTCAAGGCTGCGATTGTAACTTGTGGAGGGCTCTGCCCTGGTCTCAATGATGTCATCAGACAGGTTAGTTTGTTATTGATGTTTTGCAAAAAGCTTTGACATTTTTTTGCCTGTTGTGAAAAGAGAAGCTTGGCAGGAAATCTGGAATTTAATGCTGCAGAGTTCCTAGGCAATTGCATTTAATTCAGTTTTATTGAGCATATTCTCTTAAACAAGAGTTATCACTCCTGGGCAGAAAAGTGATTAGTGCCTAAGATAATGCCTTAGTTATCACCTGAAATCTATTGATCTTGTATAGCTGTTTAAAAATTGCTATAAATACGCCCGCCCAATATATCTAGCAGTTAGCTTAATATATGTAAATTATTCTGTTGTTTTTACTCAAGGATCTTCCTACTTTTGCTGCTGTGGTATCCTTGTTCTCATTATGATGGTCTGTTGAAGTTTCTTACCATTCTCTTGTATGTTGAATGTGCTGCAGATTGTAATCACGCTAGAAATATATGGTGTGAAAAAAATTGTGGGGATTCCTTTTGGTTATCGTGGATTTTCTGACCAAGAATTGACAGAAGTTCCGGTAAACTCATGCTATTGTCTTTGCTGATGCTGGTTAGATAATCATTTTACATAAAGCTTAGCCTCAATTGTAATGCTGCGGAAAATACAAGTTCCTTTTCATGACTTTTTTCTATTATATTCTCAGCTGTCAAGAAAGGTGGTTCAGAATATTCATCTTTCTGGTGGAAGTTTGTTAGGAGTTTCACGAGGAGGACCAAGTGTCAATGAAATTGTGGATAGTTTGGAGGTGGTTAACTGATCCATTATGTCAATAAATTAAACTTTATGTCATATTTCCTCTGGATTATGTTACCTGATTTATGTATTATTGATTTCAGGAAAGAGGCATCAACATGCTTTTTGTGTTGGGTGGAAATGGTACACATGCTGGTGCCAATGCAATTCACAATGAGGTGATTAATCCTTTAGCCTTGTATTTACCAGTTGCACTTGATATGGATAATTTTGTAATATGAGGAACTTTCTGAGATGGCTGTATCTTGGAACCATTCTGTATTGGATATTCATAGAAATGTTCAATTTTCAATTTATTTTGACTTACTCTGTTATTTTATTTTGTCTCACTATTTCTCTTTTCAATTTTCAGTTTTCTTTAAAAAACTCTGAAAAATTAAACTAGATAGTAGTGTCTTTAAAACTGTTCATTAATGAGTGATGTTGAAGGTCTTCATATACATTGTACATACTGTTCTAAGTTTGTCCAGCAAAATTGTTATCATGTACTCTTCCACTGAAGTTGTATAATTTGCCTTTGAGGAATCACAATTTTTTTTTTTTTAATTTCAGTGCCGTAAAAGAAAGCATAGGGTATCTGTAGTTGGAGTGCCTAAAACCATAGACAATGATATTTTATTGATGGACAAAACTTTTGGCTTTGATACTGCTGTTGAAGAAGCACAAAGAGCAATAAATTCTGCATACATTGAGGTAAAATTATTTTATTATTCTGTGTGATGTTGGCTCTATCCAATAATGGTTTCAAGTTGGTGAATGTTGAAATATTTTCATCCCTTGCCTCATCTTAATCAGGCACATAGTGCATATCATGGAATTGGCGTTGTGAAATTGATGGGTCGTAGCAGTGGATTTATAGCGATGCATGCATCTCTAGCTAGTGGACAGATTGACATATGCCTGATTCCTGAGGTATGTAATAACAAGAAGAGTATAAATTTGTTGGTTTTCCGTTTTCTTCGTCATTACTATAGTCCACCACAAGTTGCTGCGTGTGGTTCCAGGTTCCGTTCAAGTTACATGGACCGCATGGAGTCTTGAATCATCTCAAGTACCTCTTACAAACAAAAGGATCAGCTGTACTCTGTGTGGCAGAGGGAGCTGGACAGGTGATTTTGTGCTCTTATGTTGAGCTAAAGGAAACCAATACAGAAATAATTATAATTTTAAACTGATACTCAAGTTTTATTATTTATTGACTAGTAAACTATAGGTAGAAACTTAAACTTCCTAAGAGTTAATCTTGATGCAGGATTTACTTCAAAAGACTAATGCAACTGATGCATCTGGAAATACTGTCCTCGGAGACATTGGTGTTCGCATTCAACAAGAGGTTTGTGATTGCTTGACTTGAAACTTGGTAATAGAGGGAGTTATGGAAAATAGCTCTCTGCTCTAAGCATGATAATTTTTGGGGGGTAAAACTAAAATCTTACAAGCACATCTTGGTTTAGAGCCTGGATCCTTTGAATGATGCTAAATTTCCTAAGATAAACTTCTTTTTTGTTTTCTACATCCTAATTGTATGTTTTGAACAAAATGCAAAGCAAACACGTGTATTAGAACTGCCTAGCCTCTGATATTTCTGTTAAAATTTGTAAAATTTGACTGTATTTTTTTAGATGTTCCTCTGATATTTCTGGTAAAATTATATTAAAATTTGACTGTATTTTTTTAGATGTCAACAAAGATGGCAATTTCCTCTATTCATGGATGGTGGGGATAGATTCCCGTGCCAAATACATGGGGATGGGGAGGAGAACCATACTCTCCACCCTTTGGGGATCCATTTATGTTAAAAACATATGCTTGATTTGTTCAATTGGATATATGATAAAACTTAAATATGCGTTTCTTTCCAATGATGTATCTAAGTAGAGATTATTTTGTTTTGAATAACTGTGAATAATTGTTTTGAGCTTTTTAGTTGGAATAGATAGATGCCGTTGTTTACAATATATTTTAAAAAAAAACATTCTATACTGAGTTTCTATATTTCAGACCAAGAAATATTTCAAGGAGATTGGTGTTCATGCTGATGTGAAATATATTGATCCAACATACATGATCCGGGCATGTCGAGCAAATGCATCAGATGGAATTCTATGCACTGTACTTGGGCAAAATGCTGTTAGTCTCTCTCCCTCTCTCCATGTGTGTGTGGGCGCACGCACTCTATGTTTGAATACAAAAGCGTTTGGTACAACTTATGTTTCGATGGGGAAAAAATAGAATGGAAGGGAATGTTCCATTGAAATTTTTCCTGGTTTGGCAATTCTTAATGAAGAACAAAGGATAATGAAATATTATCAACTGATCTTCTAACGTCCAAACATGGAACATTCGGGCATGCTACTGTGTATCTGATTTTTTATTCATGGTTTTTGCAGGTTCATGGTGCTTTTGCTGGATTCAGTGGCATAACGGTTGGCATTTGTAACACTCACTATGCTTACCTTCCCATACCAGAAGTAATATCTCATCCCAGGTTGGTGGATCCCAACAGTAGAATGTGGCATCGTTGCTTAACCTCAACCGGCCAACCCGACTTCATTTGACGCTTTATGATTTTTAGTGTATTCAAGAGCCTTGAAATTCAGGCTTCCAAAGACTGCATATGGTAGGAAGATAGGTTCAAAATACTTCTGGCCGATCTGTTCCAATATACCCAGGAAATAATACTAACGATGATACTTCCTCTCTGAAAAATTGTTTATCTTGTATAGCATGGCAGTTTCTTAGTTCTGCAAATTGCTTGCCTAATAAAATTTTGAGAGGCGATGTCAAGAATTTTGCGGTTGATTTTCCATTGATTTGTAACATTTGCTGTAACTTATATTGAGGGCCAAAAGACTAATTCAATAAAAAGTACTTAGAGCAGGTGATCTGTATTTGTTCGTTGTTCCGGCCTCTGTTGTTGGATTGACTGTACCTATTTACATTTGAGATAATGTGTCTTAAATCAGATTTATTTGTAATGCATTTTCGTTTTTATGTTTTTTTTTTTTAATTTTTGTTTCTTTCTTGGCGCGAATTCCAAATTTCAGTATTTATCTGACAGGCTGGTGACAATTATGAGCACGGTCTAAGATAGGTTCTATAAACTTCTAACATCCCAAAATATATACATATCTGACAATAAAATGTATCGATGTAATGTAAGCATGAGAGACAGAGAGAGAAGAGAAAGTATTGATTGGTGATGAATGGTAGGAAAATAGCAAAAGGAACTGACGGGGATTGTCACTGTGGTCCGTGGTTTGATTGATTCAGAGTCCCACTACAGAAACACATTTAAAAATGAACAGTGAAATACTGCAAAAGACTGAGAGCATTGAGATGACACTTGAAATTCAGAAGCTGTGTGCCTGCCCTTTAATTCAAAAAAAAAAAAAAAAAGAAATTAAGAAGCTGCTGACTATGCTAGATTGAGAGGTCAATTAAGGAAGCTAATATATGTGTTGGTTGCCCTGTACATAATGTGCATTTTCTAACCATTAAACATGGGTCCATATAGAATCCGCATAATGACAATTAAGTTATAAGAGAATCAGTTAATTTAAATTAAGTTTCAATCAATTTTAAAGTGTCAACAGAGTCTCTTAATTTTTTAGTGGTAATAAGTTTAACATTTTTAAAAATTTATAAGTTCAACTCTCCATTTTACAACTTTATTGTCATGTATTTACAGCTTGTTTTTCAAATTTTAATAGAATTGAAAAATAAACAATAGGCAATGGAGAAATGGAAGATCTATTTATTTTATTGATAAACAGGCAATGTGAATAAACAATAGACTTAATATTTTTCAACAGTAAATTTGAACATTTGTGTTTCCTATTAAAATATAAAAAACAAGTATAAATTTATCACAATAAAGTTATAAAAATGGGAACCCAACTTGCAAATTTTTGGAGCTGTTAGACTTAATACTTTTCAATATTAAAGATGAACATTTGTGTTCCATGTTAAAATTAGGAAAAAAATAAGTTGTAAATACATCATAATGAAGTTGCAAAATAAAAAACCAAACTTGCAAATTTTTGAAACTATTAAACTTAATGCTTCTCAACATTAAGTATGAAAATTTGTGTTTCTTGTTAAATTTTAAAAAATAAATTACAAATGCATCACAATAAAATTATAAAATTAGAAGTTAAACTTGCAAATTTTTGCAAATCCCTATTAGACTTGTCAACACTAAGGGATTAAGAGATTTTATTGAGATTCTGAAATTGATTGAGATTAGACTTAAATTAATTAATTTCATTAAAACTTAACTGTCATTCTCCTTGTAGAACCATCGGTAGAGTATTTAGCTAACATGAATCATTACTGTTGCTGGTAAAAAAAAAACATTACTATTTCTTTCTCTAGGGTTTTTGCGGTCTATTGTATTAAAAATGAAGTTGCTCCCTCACTCACTGTAGTCTCATTCAAAGCTGCAACACACGTTGCAAACAACCTCAGTCTGAGTCTGAGAGTGTTGGTGACACTGACCCACCCATCTCTGGATCCAGTCCCCATCACCTACTGCTTCACAGAAATACACATGCCTTGCTCTTGCAGTCATAAAACTAACAGTCAAACACATTCCTCAATTTCTCTGTCTTTTTCCGCCCTTTTTCCCATTGGGGTCAGATTGTATTTATGGGTATTTCAGAAATTCTGTCCAACAGTATTTCCTTTCCCTTCAGCAGTTTTTAGAGCTGCTAACAATGCAAATCTAACTCTGTAGAGGAAAAAGTATTCGACGATGAAGTTGGGGAGAGATACGATGTTTGCTCGTGCCTCGTTTAGTTCGTCTCGTAGCATGTAATGCAAATCTGCTTGTATTTATATGGTTTTGAGATTCACTGTTTTAATCATTATAAATAATCGCCATTTATAATGCTTTGGTAGGTTAAAATTTTATATTCTTCACTCTTATAGCCAGAAAGAGTCATGCAAAGGGGAAAAAATATAGTGCATAAAATTTATGCCTTTTTTAAAATTCCGCCCCCCCTTTTTTTCTTTCTGTATTTCACTGTTTCCTTTACTATATGATACGTATAAGCAAAGAAGGTTCATAGTTAAATCCATTTGAGCATGCTTAGCTGTTTTATATGGTGAAGATGCTTCCTCCATCCTTAAATACAAGTCCTAATTGGCAAATTCACCATCATGCTATAAAGAAAAGTTTTATTTATCAAAATGCTATACTTTCAAAAATATTCATCTAGATGCTACAATTAAAATTCGTTACGACAGATATTGAGTTCCAAAAAATTTGTGTCAAGACTATACAATTAAATTTTTTTTTAAAAAAAGCATGTCAATATCTGTCTCACCCTTTCCCTCCCCATACACACCACTAAGTCATTTTCTTTGTTCTATTAACACAGTGACTCCACCTATCATTTGTACAAAAATTACAACTTACAAACTATTCTCCCTCTCTTCATATGTATATTGAAAATGTAATATAAATTATTGACATAAAAATTATATAAACTTTCAATAAATATTAAATAGTCATAAATATTTTTATAAAAATAGTCTATATTTTTAAATTTAAAATTACAATTGATATGATATAAATAAATATGAATACATATTTATTTATTTTATTTTTAATTTATAGAATATTTTCTTGAATAAAATTTTCAATAATTATTCAAAGTTTGAGAAATAAACCTTATCATTTATAAAAAAAATGTATGAGGTAAAAATATAAAAGGAAAAAGCTTACTTCCTCTGTTAAAAAATGTAAGACATTTTTTAAGGAGTTGGATGTTTAAAAATATAAATTATTTTTAGTCTTTCGAGGTAATCATGACCTTTTTTTTAAAAGTGCCCATATTGATAAATGACTTTATATTTATTATAAAATATTTAATAATGATAAATCTAAAAAAATAGGGTTAGTTTGAAAGTGCATAACTACTTTATTGGGGGTGAAATTTGGTTAAAAATACCTTATATTTTTGAACGAAGGAAGTATATATTTAGTTGGGTATATTTAAATTTTTTTAATTAAATTAAGACACATGAATCTTCTATAAATTTAAATTACTTATTTTATAATAAATTATTATTATTATATTAAAATTCGCTTATATTGATTTGGTTAGATAAAAGTATCCTTAGTTTATAAAGTACCTATGGGTTACCCAATATGTAACTTGTATTTAGGCCAAAAAAAAACATATAACTTGTAAACTTTCTTTACCTTATATTTATGATTTGTAAGAATTTGGTTCTATCTGCTTAATTATCATTTAGAGATTTTCACATTTGATGACATTTTCACGTTCAGCTATTCTTATAACTGACCTAAAGTGTATTCACAAAAAATGCCAATGTTCTCTTTTTTATGCTTTTAAAGAGATAGGACCTAATTCTTTAAAATCTTTTGACATTAAATAGTTAAATTTTATGAATTACGTGCCTTTCTTGAGGCATTTACTACTTTTATCTCATACATTTTTTATAAATGATAAATCTTATTTCCCAAACCTTATATAATTATTGAAAAAAATATTATATAAATTAAAAATAAAATAAATATGTATTCATATTTATTTATGTCATATAAATTTTAATTTTAAATTGTAAATATATATATATATTATCAAAATATTTATAATTATTTAATACGCATATATTTAAAATTTATATGATTTTTTTTATCTCAATAATTTATATTACATCTACCATACACATGAAGATAGGGAAAATTTGTTGTAAGTTGTAACTTTTGCACAAAAGATGGGAGAGTCAATGCATTAAGTGAGAAAAGAAAGTCAATTAGTGGTGTGATATGGGGAGACGTGGGAGGGTTGAGACAGATATGAGATATCTGACATGCTTTTTTTAAAAGGAAAATTTAATTGTATAGAATTTAGCTTCACAGAAACTAAGTTTAATGTATATTGCTAATACACAAAATTTTTGAAACTTTATATCTATCAAACCGAATTTTAATTTGTAGCATCTAAGTAAATATTTTTAAAAGTATAGTATTTAAATAAATAATTTTTTTTATTGATGACGAACAATTTGCTATCCTAATTCTCACCTGTTTTTTAAATATAAATTTCTATATATAATTAATATTTATTTTCAAAACTGCACCTTCTAGGTATAATTAATATTATTATTTATAGGCAGTTAAGTTTTAAAATAGTGTAATATTAAATAAAGGGAGAATTACATTCAAGTCTCACAAAAGAAAATTAATTACTTTAAGATTCATTGACAATTGAATTAAGGAGATTGACAATGTAATCTTCTCAATTCAGTTGTCACTAAATCTTATAATAATTAATTTTTTTATGTCAGACTTTAATGTAATTCTCCCTTAAATAAAAGACAAAAATAAAAGGAAAAAAAGCTAATGTTTACATAAAACATATATTTCAATGTCTCTTTAGTTTGTGTATTTTTTTAATTGTGTACATATATCCTTTTATTAAAAATAATAATATTTAAGATACAATCAAGTATTAAATGAAGTATTATTAAATGGGTATTTTTTTTCAAGTTAATCTGGAACCATGGTTAGAATGGTTTGTGTCAAACACGTAGATATTTTTTCTACTTTTTTTTCCTCCATTAACCAACTACCATTGAAAACAATCACCAACTATGATGCTCGTGACTCGTGAATGATGATGGCAAGTTTCCCGCCTGCAAAAAAAAAAAAAGAAGATAATGGAAAGTTTCCCACGCTATAGTCTTAATACTATTCCATCAATTTAAAATCAAATAGTTTATCATATTAAATGTTTGAATGGAAGTTTTAAATTTATTTGAAACATAAAGAATTTCAATTAAGAAACAAGATTTTATAATAAAAAATTTTGAATTATCATGTACTTGAATTTGGCAAGGTTACCTTGAAGGAATTAAAAATATTATTGTATGAAGATGTTATGTTATTTTTTTTAAAAAATAAAATATTATTGAATTATCATGTTATGTTATTGTATGAAGAACATGAAACTCAGGTTTGGCCAAAAAAATCCAAAGAAAATAAGAAGAAAGGCTTAAATAAAATAAATGCACTTTTGAATAGAAAGGAAAATAAACTAATCAGGTAAAAAAAATAAAGATAGAATTTTTTTAAAAGAAAAAATAATTTCAAAAAATAAAAATATGATAATAAAAATAAAAAATGAATAGATACCAAATAGCATGAGATCTTAAATCCAACACCATTTCTAGTTGTCCCATTTTATTTTCTTTTGGAGGATGCCGCTGGAAGCTAAATATTGACCGGTCAAATGCCATAAAGCAAGTGGGCCTTCTATTAGCAGGCTCTCATAGTCATACCTCATACCACTGTCTCTGTCTGTTCACATATTTATTCTTGATAAAATAAATAAATAAATTCCATTATTTTTTCTCAGCAACCCAATCTACTATATAAACAACATTGCATTATTTTGTTATTCTTCAAGTTTGTTGTACAAAATAATTTATTTGAAAACACACACACACACACACACACACAATGGAACCAATTCTTTTTCTTTCAGTTAAGAAATAATTTACAAACTTAAAATTTTTATAACTACATTATATGCACTGAATCAGTAAATGTAGAATTAATTGAACTCAAACATCAGTACTTTCTTGATGGAGTTGGAGTGTGTAAACCAGTACTCATCATTGAATTGATCAATAACAGTACTAATCTTTTCTAAAATGAGTTTTTGTTTACTTATTCTTTTCATAAAATGGTTAAGACAGCCTCTGTCTCTCTTGAAAATTCAAGATTCTCCAACAAAAGGAAGCTGACAAGAAAATAGAAACTAAAAGAATTTCCCTCTATATATTCTCTCTTTTGAGTACAACAGAGAAAATGAATAAAAAAAATTACAACTTTTATCTCAGAATGCATACTCATACTTGACCTTCTATGCCTCAAGAACAAATTGGTTTTGATCAAAATTTCCTCTAAGAATTTGCAGCTGTTTCTGAAATCCGATTATAAACAGCCTATCAACCTCTCTTGCCAATGCTAGAAGCATGAGACCTCTTAATTCTAATTTTCTTTTAAATCTTTTATTCATCCAACACACACACTCTCTCCAACTGAAAGGAACCTCCAAGGCCACACCAAATTCCCATTCAACCAAACTGATAGAACTTTGGTGAAGGAGAAAAAGTTCACATTTCATGACTTGGAAGTGTCTTCAGGTTTGCCTGATTCGTTCCTCCTAGTATTTGGACTATCATGTGAAGAATTTGGACATGATCCATCTGTTAGTTCCTCACTCTTGTAGCTCAAGCTTGCAGCATCCAACACCCCCATGGGACTTTGAGGTAAAAATGGCCCCGAGTTCCTCCCTAAATTAGCAGCAGAAACACTAACCAAACACAAATCTCTGATCAGTTCAACACACTTCAGAACTCTCTCCTGCAAAATTAAAAAGCCCATAACTCAAAAAGTTCAACTTTCCAAATACACCGAGTATTTCATTCTGGAACCTCCTGCTTGTTATGTGGGGATCACCATTTTACCTTTTGTACAATCACAAAACAAGTCATAGCCTTGTCAATCTCCGTTGCTTGCAGTTCTCTTGAAACAGAAATGGCCACTGCAGCAGCAATCTCAGAAGGCCTGAATTCCAAGAAATCAACACCTGTATTGATTTCCCAACATGCACAGTTCATATTCATTGCTCATAATGAACAATGCACAAAAAGAGTAAAGGGTATACCTCTTATTGTACCAAGTATGAGCTGTATTGATCTAGAAATGGATGACTTTAATGAGTCTGTATGTTGGTGGTAAGCCATTTTACGGAAGAAGTAGTCTATGAAGGAACAAGGAGTGAAAGCATGCATTTTCCATTGCAATGTGTTCAGTATCAAAAGCTCCATTCTTTGGATGGTTCTGGCTTCAAATAAAAACTTTGGTCCTTCAACCTGCAAATCACAAACATTGGTTATAAACTTAGAGAAAAAGATGTGTAACAACAAAAGGTATTCTTAAGAATTTAGATGATAATGTGGATCTAAACCTGAAATTCTATCAGTTGAGGAATTTTGGTTTCCTCCACTTTGGTTGCTATTGACAAACAAGCTACGGCTAACAATTGACCTGTCCATTTTTGGCTTCTCTAAACAGAGCAGGAGAAGAGACCAACAAAACCAAACAGACTATCAAAAAGAGATCATACAAACAAAAAGCTAGTAAAACACCAGTATGATCGAGCCTAATGTATGATCTTACAGGCAAATCATACATCGATAGGAACCGATCAAAATAGTTGATGGATAGACAAAAGCTCAATGGCCCAAAACCATAATAGGTGTGAACCTGTTGATCACATTATATGAAACAAGGTTACTAACTGAAGTTCCCAATAAGAAGTCAAGAAAGATACACCCATCACACAGTTTCAACAAGAAATGAGAAGGACGCATGTTAAGATTTTGAAAGAATGGAAAGCAGGAAGAAACATACAAGAATGAAACCTCAAATACATTTTGAAACTTAAACGAGTTTCTGCAATACCAGTTGAGGAATAGACATTAGTAAAAGCATCTACATCGCCAGTTTAGAAATTGACAGAAAATTCACTGTTGAACTTGAACCCAGTTGAATTCAAATAAGAATGCCAGACAACATAACAAACCCAGGATCAAGAAAAGCAGAACAGGATTTTAATATGCTAAATATCATTAGGAGAAATTGAACACGGAAATTAATAGTCCATATCAGTTAGAAAAATAATCCAAGTGGAATATTTCTTTCCTCTTTCGTTGAATGAAAGGCTCGATGGGGCAGAAAAATCCCCAAAACCCACAACCCCAATTGAAAAGATCAATCAACCAACCTTCCAAATCCAATCAAGAGCCTCTCTCCTCACACTCAAGTCCAAGTCCCCACTCCGCAATCTCACAAGGTAATCATCCTTGGGCATATAAACTTTCTCCCTCTCAGCCAATAATCTCAGAGTTTCTTCACTCTGTAAGGGAAAACCCAGTACGGATTCGAACCAGTCCATGTTCGAACCCACCCAATGACGGTAAGAACCAGAGTTTTGGCGGTTCAAAGAACGGAAAATTTCAGGCTCATCGGAGGCATTATGCTCGAAATCTGCAAAGCAGTTATTACTGTCCTCCGAACAAAGAAGGGTCGAGGTCGTCCCGTCAAAGCTATCCGCCATTAAAAGGCCTCAAGAATCAAGACACTATGAAAAGCAATGCGACCTCATCAGGTTGGCATTGCGTTGTCCAAAAGAAACGATCTTTATAGAATATCTCAGGTGAACTGATAAACACAGTAGAGATGATATGGCTATGGAATAACAGCGTTGGAGGGTCGGACTGAAGGGAATAGCGAAAGAGATGAACTTTATGTAGAGAGGAGGCATACGGAATTGGCTAGGGTGAAAGGAGGGAAGAAAACAGGGCACCCCCGGCCATTGAAGAAAAAACAAGAGAAAATAAATAGCATGGTATTTGTGGAAAGCATAAATCATATAATATATAAAAAGAATATGCTGATATGCTGCTTATTAAGATATCTTTGTCTTTGAATGCGTTGTATAATATTCATTATATTTTTATTTATAATTTTTTTAGGGCACAACAATTATTTTTTATTTACATTCATGCATACACCCATATATAAACACCTTTTTTGCCATCTATTTTTTTTATATATACTTATATTTTGATTTTTTTTTTCATATTTTCAAATTTTTAAGGCAGTAAAAAAAGGGACGAAAAATTAATCCAACAAACAATTTCATTCTTTTCAATTGCATTGAATCATGCTTTTTTAAATTTATTTTAAAGAAACCCTCAGTAGCATTTTAAAGGATCATAACTCAAATAGCTAGTGTAGAAGAATAATGGGGGATAAGCATATTAAAAGTAAAAAAGATGACAAGCTGTAAATAAGATCCTGTGAAATGATTCTATGTGAAGTGGTGGCTCGCTTTTGTGAGATTCATAATAATAATTGAATTTGAATTAAATTCTCTGAATTAGATTAGTTGGCTCTAAAAGCATACAATAAGAATATTTTATAGACCATTTTTTTTTCAAATTAAAAAAGAAAAAGAATTTTTAACGAGAGAGGAAGAAGAAAATGAACTTCACATCTGATGATTATGCTTGCACTCTTGCTATTATTATTTTTATGTATTTCTAGATAGAACCTCTATAATTTCTTTTAGATCCTATGACTAAGCCCATTAATGATAAGCCTCTTAGTCTGTGCATTCAGCAGATCATTTACGGCATCAAAGATTTTCTAGTATGATTTCATAAGTGTACATTCTTGTGTAATTTTGGAAGGCAATAAGTCATAGCACTTGGCAATTGACACTGCAAAATGCTGATTCCTACTTGGCAAATGGAATCCTTGTTTCATGAATATCACACACAGATGCACTCAGAAAGTGAAAATCCAAAAGCATGAAGCATGCAAGCACAGTGTTGCCACTTTTTAAACTTTATCACCAAACACAGATTCCTAACCCTTTAACTCACCCTTGGGATTCTTCTTCTAACTTTTCCCTTTCTTCCTCTCTTCCCAAAAATTCTCCATCTCACCCCTTCACGCTTCAAATCACGTGTTAACGTTTTACAAGTTTTAATATCAACTAATAGATCTAATTGTGACTTAGAAACATTTATATGAGTATGTGAATTGGGTATTGGATATGATACAACATAATATAACTAAGGCTTTTTTGTTGTATCGTTTTTTTCCCCCTTTGAAATATATCACCGCTTCATAGATTTTGATCAAGTCCTTTCACATTAGCCTCTTTGACTGAACCATATTCTTTTTTGCTTGGTTCCTGTTACTGTTCTCTAGCAGTATCAACATTGCTTATACAGTTATACCGAACCTGAATAATCTTTTTGTCGCTTGGCTTGTATTATATTGTTGTTTATTGATAAATTTAAATCATTTTATGAACACTTCTTCATTGCGTGCTTCGAAAAATATCATTAAAAAATATTACATTAAAATATAGCCTGTCCGAGCACGATCTGAACACTGCAAATTAAAAAGGAATCAGCTCTTACCTCGTGTTTGCGTGGCCTCACTGTAGCGATCCTGGTCCCCACACGTAAAACATACACACATTGATTATATAGTTTCATATCTGCACAAATTAGTTGTTAATATAAGAGGCTACAAATATATTATAAGCCATGTGTGCTGCAGATCCATGAATCTCTCTGCTGCTTTTCTTGTGTATATTTTGCGTTTCTTTTCTGCTAAACATGGGGATGTAACGACCCTGAACTCCAAGGTGATGTTCAGTGCACACAATTGCTTTGAATAGAAACGATGAACATGAGTCATTTGTCGTTCAATAGGGTGGTAATCAGAAACAAACACAAATCTTGTACACAATGCCACAATCGAAGAACCGAGTGGGTTTTAGAACCCATCTTCGTAAACATGAAGAGGTTCTTGAGCATCGGTGCTTGTGATTCTATTCCAAGAACGGTACTGCCACTTCAGAGGAAGGCGCTTGAACTTAATGTAAAAGACCAGGTCATGAAGATGGAGCCCAAGACGAAGAGATCAGTGATGAAAAAAGAGGAAACCATTTTGGGCTTTGTGTGGTTTTGGCTATCAACTTATCTGGGCCTCCAAAAAACAATAATAAAACGAAGCATTATGGGCCTGTGTGGATCCTGGGCCGCTTCAATGTCTTTTTTATTTGTGTTTTGGGGTGGCCCAGTGTGCAGACCAAAAAAACAGAGTATAAGAGATTGCAGACCTTATTCTATTAGGAATTGCAGAGTTTTTTTTTTTTTTTTAAGTTTTAATTATTTTGACATGTAAACAATCCAACTTATTAATGTTGGCATTATTTTACACGCACTCCTTATTCAGTGAAAAATGTTAAACAACGAAGATGATGAATGGCATGTTACACTCCCTCCTGTTACATAAGGTGTGAAAGAGAAGATAATCTTTAGTAACAGAAATCAATCTAAATTCTCAAAGCCTATGGATACTTTGTTTCAAGCTCCAAGTTTCAGGCTAAGGGGTATGGAATGCTTTTTAGGAATTTTTCTGATGCTGTGAAAAGAACCTGAAAACGTGAAGAATGGGTCGAATATCACCTCTTGTAATACTTTCAGTCATATCTTAGTCGACGCGTCTCTTCATTACAACTCACATTATAAGATGGCAATTCGCTATGCACAAAAGAGGAAGAAATTTGTGAGTTACAGGTATCTTTGAATTTCTTGCGCCCACAAAAAAGTTACCGTCATCATGCAACTTGAATGGATTTATCTGGGAAAAATTAGGAAGAGGATCTAATATTACTAAAATTTATTAGAAAACATTATAAAAATTAAAGTTAGGATGAAGGACCAAGGAAAATATAATTGATTATTATACTCTTAATATAAAATCTATGAGCCTTAAAATTAGCATGGGGTCAAAAATACTCTTTTAAAAATAAGGTTGGGTAGATTTTAATTTCACACCCAAAATAAAGCAATATTAAATTTAATTAAAACAATATAATTTAAAAATATTTATATTTAAATAATTGAGTCAATTTAATTCATTAGCAATATTTACTTTTAAAAATTAAATCAATATAATTTATTTAAAAAAATAATTTTAAAGAATTATTTTAATTTGGATTAATGAGCATCATAAATTTTAAACTATTACGCAAATGGTATCTTGAATTGCCTGAAACCTTATCATTAAGTTGGAGAAAATGCTATTATTTTTAAGGATAAATATAACTGTCACATCAGCATACTTTTGGGCCTCACAACTATAATAGTTTAAAGTCTAAAATACTTATTAACTTTTTTAATTTTGCCAATAGCACCCTATCTCAATCTTTGAACTTGTGGATTCTTAAGAGAGTATGAAGAGAGAGAGAGAGAGTGTGTGTAACATCCTAATTTTTATATAATAAAAAAAATTGTGGAATTTAGGTTTTGAGGAAAAAAAATGATAATAATAAGAATTTATATTATTTGAGGTTATTTAGAAATAATATTATGGTTAGGTATTTAATTATGAATTTAAAAATTTAAATTTAAAACCACATAAGCAATATTTAGTTAAGATATAATACATAAATAATTTTTTTTATGTGTGTGTTAAAAAAAAGAGAAGGTAGAAGGAACAAAAAAACGGGGAGGAGGAAGGTTGTTGTTTCTAAGTACTACATTGGTTAGATAAGGGAAGAGAAAAGGTGCCTTCATGTATAAAAAGGAGGGGGTGTGTGCATTAGGAAGCATGAGAGGCTAAAATGCAATTTAGAGAAAATTGCAACTTATGGCCCAAAAGTTTGAATAATTAAATTCAGACCTATAGTTTTTTTAATATAATTTTGGGACTCACAATCTCATTTTTATATTATTTTTCTCTCTTCACGTTGCTTGGCGTTTTCTCGCAAGGGGAGATTATTTTCTTTTTCTTCAGGTATGTTCTAACTTTCCTGTTTAGATTAGCTTTTAAAAATTTATTTAATTACAAAATTAATTTTATAGTTATTTTCTAAATAATATTAGCTTTCTAGTGATATGATTATTTTGTAGGATAGAGTAAATATTCTGATTAGGATTTTTCTATAGGATAGTTAATCTGATGATATGATGGAGTAAAAATATAGGTTAAAACTCTTAGGGATATAATAAATATTATAGAATATTTTTTTGAGGTTGAAACTCATGTTTAAGAATTTTTGAGTTAAAATCTAGATCTATATGGTTAAATTTATGTGGAATCTGAGATGTAGGGATAAATCTATGATTATTAAATATTTATTTAAGTATGAATATGTATTTTTGAGGTTATAGAAAGGTGATTTGAGGCTTCAGGATAATTCTAAAATTTTTAATTTATTTTTGGATGAATTTTTAGAATATAGAAGGATGAAATTGTGATACTAGAAGTGAATTGAGGATAAAAAAATAGTTTATTAGGGTACGGGAATTTTAGAAAAGAATTTGGAAAGTTAAATGAGGCATAAATCTTAAATTATTGTTAATATGGATTATAGATCTAAGACTTTCTAACTCTTTAAATTAGAGTTATTTATTTTAATGTAAAATTAATATATAGTATTGTGAAATAATTATGTAGATTATATTGACAAAGATAGTGGTGAAAAAGGAGTTGTGAAGGGGAACTTGTTATTCAAGACACAAGATAACCATTATTAATATGTTGTGATGGGTGTGTTTGTAAATGGTTATGTGTTGTTTTGTTGTTTGGGAAAAATTATGAATTATTAAAAATAAATACTGTATATACTTATTTGAAATTATTGCCAAGTGGGTTAAAAATTTATTTTTGTTTATCATGATGAGATATTATTGTTCGGATATATTTCTGTTTGAATATTTGAATGATGCATGACTTGTCAGGGTATTTTAATGTATGGTGTTAATGGGAATTTCTGTTCGGTTAATTATTACCACGTG